CAGAATACAGAAGCTGGTCGCAGAAGCCCTTGTTGCAGGATCTTGTGCATTATTTAGGCAAAATCCTCCAGCCTGTGTTGGGCAAGAAGTCAGGTTAGATAATTAGAGTGGTCCTAGCTGGCCTGAAAGCCTCCCAACTCGCTGTGCCCTGGGTTGGGGTGAAAGGCCAGACTTCTCACGACAGCAGAAACGGGGCAAAAGGAGGGAGAAGACTGTCAAGTGCTCTGCTTCCAAAACCAAGGCCTATTTTTTGCGAAGAGCTCAACACCTGTGGTACTCTGCTTTGGGAAGGCTTCTTGTAGCATGTATGTCCTTAGAAGTGTGGACTTCCTTACTGTTCACCTGTTCTGAAATGGGAATCCTATGCATTGATAAATGGGGTTTAATGTCCGTCCTGGTAGCCCCCCTGGGTGCCCTGGGTTGCACACTCTTTGGTAAGCTGCAGAACTGGCTTTTTGCCTCCTGCCAAGATCAGGCTCCAGGGGGGCATTTATTTTACCAGAAGAGAATGTGTGCTTTTGCTGGCAAGCTCTGTGTCTAAGCACTGGGTCTTTCCGAACTCGTGATGCCAAGAGTGTTTTTATAGATTTACATCCTTTATAAGGACATGAACAGGCACCCCACCCATCCCAAGTTTTGCGTCCCTTGATAGGCTTTGATTTCACAATAAATCCTCAAATACAATGGAGTGTTCCTCCCAGAACCAAAATAACTGTAGACTTCATTAGTGAACTCTGCAGCCAGGGACAAAATTTGTTCCCTGCTTGACTCCCTTAAACGATGGGCACAACAGCGTGCCCTCGGGGCCGTAGTATCTGGCAAGCCAGGCGGAGAGGGGAATCCTAGCTCTGCTGAAGCCAGTGGGTGTTTCCATGCAGTCAGGATTTCATCCCAAGGCTGTGCTGAGGTGGGCAGGGGTCCGTCCTTAGGGCAGGGTAGCCTTTCCCGCCCAGATTGGAGTCAGATACGCTGTGGCATTTAGCCTTTGCTGAGCTCTGGTGTTGCCTTTATGTGACACTTTCTCCTGACAATTTACAGCAACTAGCATCGTGATACAGCTGATGGGTGTGTAGGAACAGAGATAGGGACCGTCAGAAGGCAGTTCAGGAGCTTCGGTCCTTATCCACTGGTTGTAAAGAGAGCCTAGAGAGATTAGGCTTCTAATGTAGATGCTTTAATTAAGTGCCTAACGATTAGATGGCATGAATCTGACCCTAAATGTCCCTTTCGGCAGATGCTGAATTAGCACTGAACTTGAACTGGAACACGGGTCTGGAAGAGACCTTCTCAGCTGATAAGTCTCTGGGAACCATGTTTAGCCCAAAAGCATTCGGAGACTGCTCGCCTGTCCTACCCCAAAGCACACGGACCTGCAGAACTCCTTCCCATCCTTGCAGCAAACTTATGGCCTTGATAGATGTTGATGGGTTTTGTTCTTTCGTTAGTAATATACCACAGATGGAAAAATCAACAGCGTCACGTCTCGCAGCCTTGTATCGTCGGGGGAGAAGCTGGATGAAAGTGCCCAGCCAATCTTAAGAATTGCATCTTATCCTCAAACTGCAGAAGGCGGCAAAAAGCAGGGGACAGGACTCCTTCGTGGCCCCAAGTCTGGCAATCAGTTTAGCCTGAGCCTGTGAGCAGGATGCATCAAGCAGGCATCAGTAGTTGGGTAATGAACAGTGAAATGAAATTCCTGTGTTTCAGACCATCTAGCTGGATGAACCTCACCATCTCTGCTGGGCCAAATTTATGTTCGATATAATTTCAGTGAGGCTCATAAAGTTAAGAGTGCCAAATCAGAGTGATTGCCTGTGATCCACTCCAACAGTGACTTTTGCTAAGACTGGCCAGCTGTGAGAATGGAAACCTTCCCGTAAGGAGCAGTCCTGAGAGCCACCAGCACGTCCTGTGGACGACCGAGCAGCTTTGAGGCAGGGGGCAGCTTTGAAGTCATTGACGAGCGGGTGAGAATGATTCCCCTTACCCTGCTGCTTGTACCGGCTTTTTATTTTGGCTTCTGCAGGCCGAGTGCCGCTGGGAGAGATCACGCTGAGCCAAAAAACTGTGTATGTGCTTGCCTTAATTTTATTCTTTACCCTTACATGATTTTTAGCAATTATCTAAATGTCTTCTTTTTTTAATTACTATAAATTCAGGAAAGCCACTGGTTGGGAATGGTGAGTGAACCCAGAAGAGTGTAACAAGGTGAATTAAACACCCACTATTCTTTGCTTGGGGGAGATTTTAAGCAGGGTTGACATCTTTATCCCTTCACTTGAGGCAGCTCAGGCAAAAAGAAGAGACGCAAATCGGTGTTAACTTGGGTGTTTCCTCCCTTTGATCATTCTGAGTCACTCAACCTTCATGTTCTTCTCTTGCTTCTTGGCAAGTGGCACGTCCAGTGGGGTGAACAGTTCAGCTGATAGCATTAGGGGTAGTTTTGGTTGTCGCAGTGCCCTAAGAAAATCTTGGACCATCCCTAACACTTGTCCTTCATGTCCTGTTGCTCCTCTACTTTTTTTCAGCTTATGGTAAGAAGGTGCCTTTGTGGCAGACCTGCTCTGGGCTCCGAGAGGGTTTCTGTCCCCAGAAACCCTCATGTGGAGGGCTTGGCACTGCTCCTGGCACTTTGCAGTGAAGATACTGGTGCAAGACGTTGGTTCTGTTACCCAGTAAAGCAGCTAGAGTGGATCCAGGTGCTCGTCTCTTGGCAAGGCAGGGGAGAGAGCTGGCTGGCCATGGCAGAGCTAAGGTGGCTTGAAGGATGAGCAGGATTGCAACTCTCTACGTTTTACTTATGCTACCGTTCTGGGAAGATGAAAGCATTCAGGTGGATGATGATGCACAGCTTGGTAAGGATGTTTTATAACCGCATTATTCTTTATTTTTGTTGTGGGTTGAAAACTTAATCAGCCATCATAATGCTGGTTTAGTGCTGAATATTCCCCACAAAACTCCTGACAGGTGAGTGAGCATTATGATTTAGTTGAACAGTTCATTTGAGGTCATGCAGCAGGTTAAAAGAAATTCTGAAAGCAGAATTTGGAAGAACATGGCTCAAGGTGCAACTGCTGCTTCTTGGACAAGGAGCAATGTATGAACCGAGCCATACATTAAGCACTGTCCTTTTAGAAAGGCACAAATATAACACCTTCAAATGCCCCGTATGGCTTGGAATTCTGCTGTGGATTATATTCTTGCTGTGTGAGAAAATGAGAACAGAGGTGCGTAGCACTTTATCCTGTCTTATTTACGAGTGGTGGGAGAATGTCCTGCAAATTGTGAGCAGCTAATTTTAGGTGCCAACATAGTTTAAGGTGCCAAGCCTTCCAAAAGGGGAAGGAATGTATATCCAGCTAGACTGCCTTTAGCTCCGAGCTGCTCTAGGGCACTGGATGTTTATACCACCTCCAGTACATTAAATCTTTTGTGTGGAGCCATAATCCTTCATTGTGACATTAGTAGAGGTAGCTGTTACGGAAATGATTGTGAAATCCCTCGTCTTGTGGAAGAGGAGAAGAAGGAGGTGCATCTGAGGTGGTTTGCACTGTGCTAATGCCCTCCAGCCCCAAATCCCAAGGGGCTTTCCAAGTGCTAATTAATTAAGAGTCGGAGTTGTCTGTTTTCAGCAGTGGACAAACAGTGAGCGGCACAGGGAGTGTGGAGGCTGATCTGGTGTTGCACAGGGACCCGAAGGGACCTGAGTAAAATGCAGGGCTTGATTCGCAGCTAAGATGCCCTACGCTTGGAGGCAGGAAGGAAGGAGGCTGAATTTAAATGACGCACTACACACTCCCTGTATTTCCCTTCATCTTCTGTCCTACTTCCCAGCACACTCTGCTGGGATGTGGTAGGGACTGTATGGCAGAGTGCATTCTGCATATGCTCCTGCCCCCTGCTTTATGTTGGCCCAAAGTAAGCACACAGATCTTGCACCACTTCTACCCTGGAAAGGTCCCTGACTCAAAGGCACGGCTCCATCTTTTTAAGGCCACTTCATGTGCAGCACAGAGGATTCCTGTCCGGTACCCAACCTGCTCTGTCACACTCCAGGCCAGCAAGGACTAAGAGTGCCCTCTGCTGCACTCCTTCTCCTCATCTTCCCATGGCAGCATTCCGCTTGCTGTTTGGGAATAAACAAAACAACTCTTTTAATACACAAAACAACTCTTTCATATTCTAAAGGTCTTTTTGTGCGGGCTGTGCAGAAGCCTGGTTCTGTATTTCAGCAGCAAGCAGAAAAGATCATGCCCCGAGATGAAAATGTGTGATATCCTGCATCAGTCCTGAGGCGCAAATAAAGCACTACAGGGAACTACTGTCCTTTATCAATAACCTTCACCCCGTAGCTTTTCATTGCCTCGTAAAACAAGCAGCTCCTCGTTGCAGGAGTTCAGACAGCAGTCTTTATAGTCATGAAACTTTCATTTCTTGGAGCTGGCAGCAGCAAGCGCTGGTGATGCACGGTCAGTTATGGTACCTAATTGTGCCTAACAGCGCTGAACTTTCCATCTCTCCCTCCTGTTCAAAGGAAAAACATTGAGCACGACAAAGCTCTGCTTATTTAAGTGCTCAGCTCTTGCAGCTGAAA